GTTTCTAAATTGTTCAAAATCTGATTTTTTCAGGATTTTGGGAAAACGATGACAGCTTTCAAATAGATAAATAAAGCATCTGCAATGATTACTCAGGAATGTGCCAGTTTCTGGAGAGATTTTTTTTTCTCTCATGTCACATAAGGAAGTGCATTTGATGCCTGGCCTTGATTTAACTCAAAGGCTGTAAATCCACAAATCAGATGCTTTCAAAATCTATGACATCATCTTTTATATGATTATATTGTTGTAAACACAGAGTATCGTGATGTCATCCAGTCTCAGTATAAACCCAGCTCTTTCTGTTGGAGTTGACATTTCACAAACAGCCAAATGAATCCAAATGAGCATGGAAGATCAGGGAAACTTTTTTTTAAAAACGTTTTTTAACAGCCTTGTCAAGGACTAAAGCCTCCGTACATGGGTCGTGTGCCAACCACTGCGCCGCCTGCATGCCCAGTTTAGGCAAACATTTGAGGGAAGGTTTAAAGCAGAGTTAGGTTGCAACATAAAACCCAAAGTTTGAATATCTTACACAGCCCTTTTCAGTAAATTTAAGATTGAGAGGGAGTAAAGCACAGGTGCAGGCCCATCTTAGAATCAACCTAAAAATCCATGGAGGTGGGAAAATCTAATGGCAGGATAACTTCATAGTTTACTTTACAAATGTATCCTTTATAGGAAAAAAATATATGTTTTAAAAATATGGAGGAAGCTAAATGCATTAATGAGGAGAGCCAGCAAAAGATTGGAGGCTGAGACAGATGTTCACCATCAGGCAACATTGGAAAAAATTGAAAGCTCGATAAGTCATTTTTTCTTAAAATAAGTGCATTTGTTTTTTGGATTGAGGAGGTGAAAGAGACAGCTTGCCAATGGAACAAGACAATTTACACTTAAAATAAGAAAACCCAATTGCATTGTCTTATTTCAAGTACATATTATCTAAATATCTTATTTTAAGAGTAAAAATACTCAATCCACTGGCAAAATATCTCATTACATACTCAAAGTAAGGGTAAATACACTTAATTTAAAAAAGTTTTACTTATTTCTAGATCATTTTTCCAGTAAACACATCACATATAGTCAGACCTTTTCTCAAAGTTTAGATCAAAGCAAAACAAGGTGTTAGAATAACAGAGTTAAAGTCTGTGGCAAAGTGTATGTTCACCAATATCATCCCTATTAGTCTGAATAACCTCATTCTATTGCACAAAGACAAAAAAAAAAAAAGAAAAACTTTAGTTCCAGATGTGCAAAGACCATTCTACAAAGTCTGGCGCTGAAGTCAACTCAATTTCACTTTTCCAGGTCTTTATAATTCTTGTATCTGTTTTATCTCCACTAATGAGCTTTGCATTTTGTGCAGGACAAAATTTTGAAAAAAATTAAAGAGTAATTTTACACACAGCAACAAATTTTCATCTAAGCAAGAGGATTTTTCTTAAAATGCATGCATTTCGTCTTGAAATAAGAAGGCAAGTGAGACTCTTTGCCAATGGAATAAGACAATTTACATTAGAAATAAAAAAAAAACTGCATTGTCTTATTTCAAGTCTATAATATCTAGTCATTGTGTAAAAATTCTCATTTCATTGCCGGATCATCTTATATACCTACTCAAATTAAGCTTGAATACACTTATTTTAAGATATTTCTACTAAATTTAAGCTCCTTTTTGCAGTGTATATAACTCTATCCTGTCATTCTAAACCGTTATACATCTTTTTCTTACTGGCTGTAATTTGTAAACACAAATAAACAGCAACTAGAGATTGAGAGAGTAACAAAACCTTAGCGTTTAGTGAAATGGTCAGAATTGTACTAATTTAAATAATGTGTGTTAAGATATCTTTAAGGAAATATATGCTGCAATGTGTTCCTCTTCGGAGCACAAGCAAGTAAATGTGGTTTATTTCTTTCCATCCCCTGACAACAAAACAGCTTTGTTGGATCTAGGAAGTTAAAGATGGTGTTTGCTGGAAGCACATCCAAACTGCTAAACTATATCACGTCACTTTGAAAATACAATACCTCCTGACAGGGTTCTTCAATCTCTGCCCAGAGCAATTTATTTCTTGTAAATCTCCACCATCTGTCATTTCTACAGATATAAAAAGCTTTGAAACGTTTCTTTTGCAAAATTAGACCATAAAGATCTATTTGTAACAACCTCCTCAAATATTAGCTAACTAGATATATATGTGCAAGAATCCTTTATTGCAGCTGCATGATATCACACTGAGGGATTAGTGAAAAATAATCCCAGATTAAAGGAAATCTTTTCTTTGCAATATCATCAGCACCATATTTATCAGCATATCTAACAATCTTCACAACTAAATTTTAGAAAAGCATTTCCTTTAAGTGATGCTTTGTTGATATGATGCAACACAGAAGCCCACTTCTTTTAGCTACTCTTTAAAAAGGGAAAAACAAGGGAACATTTCGTTCAAATGAAGTCCATATAGATTTATTTGAATGCCCTAAACTCTAAAGTATTTGGTCACAAAACCAAATCAGTTAATATTGAAGTCAATGAAATCCCTAGAAATGAATCTTATAGAAACCTCTGGGTTGATTAATAAAATAAAAAAGGAGAGAATCCAGGATGACAGATTATGTAACCAGTGAAAGATCTGCTTCTCTCTTTGCTCCAACCTTGTGAGACATTACAAAAGTTACATTAAAACATTAAAAGTAGCCTATTCATCTGTCAGAGTTAGATCAAGCTACAGCAAAAATAAAACTATTCATATTTTTAACTTTATAGCTTTTTACAAATCTTAATCATGTAAACAAGATGCACTCTGCAGAATGTTGCATAAATCATACCATCTCATCAATGCACATAACCTAATAAGTAATCTGAGTGCAGCTCTTCCTCCTTATTAAAACGGAAATCCGATCTGAACCAAAGCAGACAGTAAGAGTCTGGACAGAGCTGAAAGTCTGGCCCAAGAGCTGTCAATCATACGCTGCATAAATTACCTGCTGTCTGTGCTGAGTGTTTAATGAGCCTATATGCCACCCAATGACTCTGTAGCCCTGCTTCTAGGTGATCCCAAACAGCCCCCCCTATACAAACCAGGAGACACGTTTTAAACCCATGTGCAAACACCATCCATCTAAATATAAACCTTCTTTACAACAGAGAAGATCAACCTCATGCAGAAACAACTTGTTAACTTCTGGGAACATCTTGTTCTTCAGTGAGAACTCGAGGGGGCTGCTGATGTTCTGCCATTTGTCTCTGCACGGATCTACTCAACATGAGGGAGACCTGGTTGAAAAGCAGCCTCTCCCTTTCTCCATGGCAACCGGTGGGCATACCGCTACATCTGGCAGGCTTTAATGGCTCGTTACAGCCATGAGGGCACAGCGACAGGCGAGCAGCAAACTGCAGGGGGGGAATGATCTCCACTCATTCATCCGAGAGGCTCTACTGCAGCTACTCTGGATTAAAAGAGAGTATTTTCCTCAGAAATACTTTAAATACTCTGTTAAATATATTTTCCAGGAGTCCTTACCTCAACATATGGTGCTATTTGTCTACAACAAGATATTCTTTATTTAAAACTGAATGTTCCTGAATTAATTTCATGTTAAGTGGAAAAACAAACAGGCTTCCTTTGCTATATTTGAATTTTATTTTATAAATGCCATTTACTTTGTGCATGGGGTTGCACAGTTTGAAATTTTTTTTTTTTTTTTTTTACAATCTAGTTTGTAGTGCCATCTAATGAATGAAACCTGCAGTTGCAGAAAACGCCTAAAGAAACCAAGCATCATGTTACAAGTTATAAATGGCGCTTCAAGGCCAGACTGAAGCTTCACTTCTCTTCAGGGTCTCTTCCTGTTGGTGACATGGAGACATCCCACATAAAACGCTTTGAGGTCTGATTTAATATCAGATTATTGTTTTCACCCTTAAAAACTCCAGGTTTCAAATAACCAAAGATTTATCTTAGACCAACTGTTAGAAATTAGAGTTTGTTTTTAATTTTGCTGTTTTTTTCTAAATGTATAATATCATAAACAATCTTATACGGTATATATCTCTCTGATACAGCATTGATCTCCTTTTGTAATTGTAACACTTTTTTTAATAAAATTTTCTTGTATCATTTTTAAATGGCAAAGTAAATTAATCCGTAAAAGAAAACCTATAAACTTCTCTGCATCTAATTTAAAGTAAATCTTGAACAGATATATATACCATCATTCTTGAAATCGATTAAATAAATGACTCCGTGTTCATGATTCAAAAAGTTTTGTTAAAATTTTCTGCAATTATATTTTTAATTCATGACAAAGCTTCTACCAATAAAACAAACAAACAAAATGATTCCCAAAAGGGCTTTTTTTGGTCATTTCAACTGGGCCATCTCTGATATTCAACTTAAAACAATGTGTTGTGATTTCATCAGCTTTGCCCCCATGCTAAGTCATCTTTGAAGACTTTAGATTCATAAGTCAGGATGAAAATGAGTGAAAACTCCCTGAAATTCAGGTTAAACCCAGGAGATTGCAAAAAGGTCTGGCAACATGGAGCAAAAATATAAAGAGGTTAAAGGAGGAACTTTGAAGCTTTTCCACAGTGATGTAATGTGTGGTTATACTTATAAGGAAGAAAAAAATAATGCTTTAATAATTAAATAAGGCAGAGAAATCAAAAATAAATATTTAATTTCAGTGAATGGACTTACATTTTTTTGTTGTTCTGATTAAATCTGCTTAAAAACTCAATTTTGGCTTAAAAAAGAGGGATTTACTTCTAACAGCATCTAATACTGCTGAGTTATTTTCTTGTTTCGCTGAGGAATCCCGATCATTTCTGCAAATGCTGCAGCTTTAAGCCTCTTCTTGCTCTGGGGGCCGAAATTAGCTTTTAGGAAAAACGTCAGCTGAGCCGCAGGTGTTTGACTTTTTGACCATCTGACACATCCCCCATCCCTGATTTAAAGGCTTTAAACTTCAACAATCAGTCACAAAACTGGAACTAAACAAAATAGATTTAATGAGAAGGGAAAAAAGTCTTATGTAACAATAATCAGTGAGAGAACAAAAGAAACATTTATGGAAAGATTTAAAGCTTATCCAGAATAAATCATAGATGGAGGGTTGAAAAAAATCCTGTTTTTATTTCAAAGTAAACCATTTATATTAAGGAGGGTTATTTTAATTTCTTTCTTTGAATCCCTTCAGTCCCCTGAGCCTTCAGTAAGAAATCTGAACCAAAAAGTCCAAAAGGACCTCAGTCTCTCAGCTGTTGTGGACCCTGGGCTTCATTTCCAGGAGCCAGCCTTCCCTTTGGCCCCGCGGGTGGTCTTGGATGTTTTGGAGCCTCTCTGGTGGTCGCTGACTCGGTTTCTGAGCACATGAATTTCATATTTTTGCTTTTTAAGCTGCTCAGCCAGCTCAAACTTCTCAGCGTGCAGCTGGTGGAGCCACTGCCACAGATCCTGGGCCTTTTCCACCAGCTTCTCATGGCCCAGGTGATCGATATTGAGCGGCTTCCGGCGCTCCATCAGGGCCTTCTTCTTCTCCTCGCGGGCTGTTAGCTTTTTCCCCTTCTTCTGGTCCACCTTCTCCAGGTAGCCACCAAAGGACTTGTTGGAGAATATCTTCTTTTTCTTGGCCTCCTCCTCAGCCCGCAGCTTTGCGGCCTCCTCCTCCCGCCTTGACCTCTCCTCGGCCACCCGAGCTTGGCGCTCACGCTCCTCCTCGGCCCGGACGCGCTGCTGCTCGGCCCTGTCCGCCCGGCGCTGCTCAATGCGGCTACGCAGGGCGATGAGCTCTTCCTCCTCCTTTTGACGGCTGGAGAAATGTTGCTCGATGAGGGTCTGAAGGTCATTGTAATCCTTCTCTACTCTTTTCCGGTGGAGGTCATCAAAGTCAACCTTTTCTCCATCAGGAAGCTTTGGAGGAGCCATGTTTGGTATATAGGTGGTCTTAAAACGTGGTTTAGACTCTTTATCGTGCTCATCCTCATCTTCCTCCTTCTCTTCCTGCTCGTACTCCTCCACAATCTCCTTGGTGTCTGACATGTTGGACCTTTGAGCGGAACAGACCAGCTGTAGTTGCAAACGCAGGAGTTGACTGGAGGTCTGGCTGTGCAGGTTTTAAGGGTTTCTAACTCACCATGTGACCCCACGCCAACAGTCTGTAGGCTGCAGGTCAGCAACAGGGCTGCTTTGGAGACAGATGGAGGGGTCTATTTTCTCCTCCACCAAGTCCCGTCATAAACACTCCCCTGCTTAATCCCCTAAAGAGCCCCCTGCTGCCTACACTGACCCCACGGGGCTTCTCATTCCTTTGTAAGGACAAAATGAGGGACTATTTCAGAAACACAACAGATGCATACATACTTGTGTTCTCAAATCTCCCACAAAGCAACACTGAGATTATTTCAGAACGAATAGCAGGCATCCTCGGAAAGATGCAAGTTAGCAGCTGGTAATAAGCAGAGGAAGAGAAAACAACTAAACTTTTGGAGCGATTCTCTCAAAATAAAAGAAAGCACTAATCCTTCACTTGCAGTAAGGTGAAAAGCCACTGTTAATCCAAAAAGTGCTTAAGCTTCTGTTAAAGAGTGCTGCAAGTACGCCTCACATAGGAGGATTTTAATGAGGAAAATGCCAACATCAGCATTTAACTCCAATTGCATTTTTACCAACATACAAGAAATAAAGATATGTTTGTTTGAATATTTTGATTCGTTTTTAGCAATCAAACATAATGAAAGACCAATTATGAACTTAGAACATCCTACCAAATTAATAAAGTAGGAGATTGCCTTAATTAAATCTTAATACCACCAGGAGGTTCGTATCATTGATATGAAAGTGCAGGAGCAAAGACAGGGCACATGTTTAGCTTTCAGAGGAGGTATAGAGGCAGGAAACTTTCTAAGAATATGTTGAGCAGAGAGAACGTAGACGGAGATCTGGGTCTATATTGATAAAGAGTCGCAGAAATATTCCTGCCAAGGAGTTTTGACTGAAAAGTGATTCAGTTTGTTGGCAAGAGAGTCTCAGGAGGAGAAGACATTTCTGTCTTAGTAAGGACGTGTGGTTGAACCTCTTGCTAGCCGGACGCCGTCCAAGCGCAGGGATTGGTTGTTACAAGAAATAAAAAGAAATGCACTTATTTGACAAGAAAGATAGAAAAAACTTGGTAAAATTGACCGGGTAATATTTCTCATGATGAAACTCATCCTCATTTTGATTTGCCAAATAGGTTTGCTACTTCATCTACTTGAAATCAGTTTAAACTCACCTACATTTTACAATGCTTGCCTGCTTATAAAAAGCTGTTTGATTTTGCATAACGACCCTAAACATGAAACGAAAAGGAAAAGGGTTGAGAAACAGGCAAACTAAAGAAAAGAAGCTGCAGTTGAGACAAGTCTGAGAGGAGAATGTAGGAGAGCTGCAGCACTGTTGGCTTTCTGTAAGAAGGTTCCAGGTTTGAATCCAGGTACAAAACACGACTGTTGGGTTAATTGGTATCTCTAAATTGTCCTTAAGGGTGTGTGTGTGTGTGTGTGTGTGCATGGTTGTGTGTCTTTGTGTTGCCCCTTGACAGACTGGTGACCTCTCCAGGATGTACCCCACCGCTCGCCCATTGACAGCTGGCAATAGGCACCGACCCAACCCCGACCCTTATTGAATAAGTGGAAGAAGATGTATGGATGGAATAAAATGCCATCAGGCAATCTGCAATATTTATTAACAGGAAGGTTGTGGTTTTAGCAGTGTACTCAACTTCAAAAACACATTACACCTGATTAGCTTTGAAAAATGTGTGAATCTCTATGTAAAAATAAGGAAGAAATTTTATATCAGATTGGACAAAAATATTGTAAAATTTAAAATCAAATATAAGAAAAATGTTTTTTAATAGGTATAAGGAGGAAAAAAGGTTGCAGTTTATTGCATTTGCATATTAACTATCACTTCAAATGAACATGTACTACTTAAGTGAATCAGGTGATCAAGTATTTACATTTTCCTGCCTCTTTTTAAACATTTTTCTGTAAGGGTGATATAGAAATTTTAGATTCAAATTTATTGTCATCACATTTTTTGTAAAGTATTTTACAAATTATTTTCTTAATTCTCTTAATTAGTGAAAGTCTTTTACAGTCTAAACATTTAAAATGTATCTGTAGTATATTGTTTTTTCTTTCCTTTTTTTTTTACATATATTCATCTGAATCTGCTGAAACTAGTCAGTTTCTCCCTTAAAAGACAAACAAATTGATCTTAACTACATATTATTTAATGCCTGATCATTAAAGAACTTTAAGCACTCATTCTCTCTACCCTTTAGGTGGTTGTTTGGCCAATCAGCTCTCATCCCTGCCTTCTTATTTGCCTAAAATCCACCTAGATCACTAAAAGTCTTTCTCACTACTCTGAACAAAAGCTTTTATGCAACCGAGATAAACTTATAATTTCAGATCTTCAAAGGTTTTTCTTAGAATTTAACTTTTACCTGCAAGATTATTTATGAATACAGACCCAGGACTTCCGACATAAAGGTCTCTGAACAGATTACTTTAAATGTCAACTATTTAGACACAAGAATAAAGAAAATGTCTAGCATGAACTAGATCAACTCTTCCAGCTAAATAATCTCATACCAGCTGTGAAGCATGGAGGTGGAAGTGTCATGGTATGGAGATCCTTTCCTGTTGCAGAATCTCAGCAGCTCCCATAACATCCACCACATTTAGGGAAAATAGACCACCTAAAAAAGAAAACAACAACAAAAAAGTATAAATATGTATATATTAGTTTTAGTACTATATTATCAGTATAAATGGAAGAAATAAGCAAGTCTTAGAATAAGAAGCCTCATCTAAACTTTACTGGAAAGTCTGAGGGAAGACATACACATGCATGAAAAAGATCTCAAAGCTGAAGGTGATGAGGACAGCAAACTTAAGAATTTTTAATATACAAGTAAGTCAAATAAATTATTTGTATAGCAATTTTCACAGATAAAAATCACCAAAAGCTTCCCAGTAAATATGCAATACAACAAAACAATGTAGAATAGAATGTATATCAACATTTTAAAAACATTTAAACATATCTTAGCATCTAGAGGTGTCCGAGTTTGCTCATGAGTTTCTATTAATAGATATTTTATTTTGCTGCAGGATTTTAATTCTAGCATTTAATAAAGTTACTTGTTTGCATAAGAACAATAAAGCACAGTTTGGGTTCCGCTCCTATGGGTATAATTAAAACCATAGAGCACTGAGGGGCTTACAGCTTTCAGCACACAGTGGATTAAAGTGTAATTATTGCTCTCCGACATCTAAAGACGTCAACAATTTAGTGTTCCCAAGTTTTGAGTTATTCCTGGTAAAGGACAGAGTTGAATGCCAGCAACAGGTGCTCTGCAGTGTCTGGGAATCCTAATTAACTTGATCTGTGAGCCTCCTTGGGATAAAGCTCCTGATGTTATTCTACAGTAAATGTGCATGTTAGACATGCTATTATCTGTGGGGGATTACATTTTAGTCCCAGTGTAAGACTTGTGAGCCTGTCTGAGTGAAGACGAGCTAATTATGGCCTGTGAGGATAACAAAGCAAATTTTAATGTCTTTCCAGTCTGGTTCCTGAGAGCAGAGAGGACTGCTAAAACATGACGACAGCAGGTGGTTCTAGTATATTTAAGGTCCTGTTGGTTGCTGCTGCTAAGAGACAACTGTGTCCATCAATAGATGCAGGCAGCAAACGATACGAGCTATCTACAGAAAGGTTTTATTTCAGTTATAGCCAATCAGCATTTAAAAAAATTACGTTTTGTTTAAAATCTGTGCTTTCAGAGATTTATTTGTCCAGTTTAAAGAACTTTGAATGTTTCCCTCATTGTACATACCTGGATAAACAGCGACATCATGTGGTCAATATGAGACACAACACTAAATAAAAATAAAACGTAACATGCAAACTTATTTCTAAAGACAATAGAGTAAAAAAAAGTTACACTGACAAAAACTACAAAACAAATAATTTTTAATCGTTTTTAAAAAGGAGTAGATTAAAGCTCTTTAAGGTCGACCTTAGATAAAACCATGACTTTTTCCCTTACAACCCAATGCTAAGACTTAAACCAAACTTAAACTTCTTCACACATCCTGCTTTGTTAAATTAACAGAATATGTACCTTTTTTTGCACTGCGACACATCTACTAAATAAATCAGCAGAATAAATCATCACTTGTCTAATTAGATATATCGTTATAAAGGTGCAACTGACAAATACCTTATGGCGATATCAATCTGTCCGTTCCACATAGAAAAATATATTAAAGTAGCCTGACAGACAGTACAGAATGGCATTAAAAAAGTATTGGGCACATAGATGGACACCAGCTGTAACTGTAAGAGTAATTAGAGCAACCCTGCCAATCAGTGCAGATTAATATCAGCTGGTTCCGATGATGCCAAGCAAAATTCCTTGGTCATTACACTTTAAAATGGGAACCCTGTAAATTTTATGAACTTACTTTATACTGTAAAGGAAAAGGCAGTAGGAATTACTCATTCACACAGACTCCGTCATCAGTGCGTCCTCTGCTTTGATGCCATTTTCAATAAACGTAATTTCCACACAGTCAACCTTCATCTGTCAGTGAAATAGACAGTTGTTTAGGTTTTTTTTTTATTATTATTCTGATGAATGACTATGAAAAATGCACACATTTTAAACAACAAACGAGGAATTAGACAGCAGAGGCGTAGCCAGAAACTTTTTATAAGGGAATAACCAATGTACACTGAGGGGGGCCAAAAACAGGCACCAGAACCTCAGGGTCAATCTATATGGAGGACCAACTCTGCCAAATTTAAAAATAAATACAGAAATAAATAAATGCTCAATAAATAAATAAGCATTCAATTAATTGTCCCCAAAATACAATAAAAAAATAAATGTAGGTAAAAATTAAATTAAATAGTGCGATATAAATGTATATATCTCTTTTAATTAACTTCTTTATTTATTCACCTTTGTAATAATTACCTTATTTATTTATTGTCCGTTATAATCTTGGACTTTATTTATTTATTACTTATTTTTTAATTATTTATGTGCCTGATATAATATTTTTGTCTGTTTTATTCTTCCTTTGTATTTTTTTTTACCCTCTTTATTTTTTAAACGCTATTTATTT